GCCACTGTACAGTGTAGTAATACCCACTTTTTACAATTCTGTTATGAGTTCCATGTCGTAGGGGGTGAGCATAATGCCATATACTGGGCACATTTCAGACTCCGTGCTGCTACTAAGAATGTTTTAAAGAATCCAGTAATAAGTACTTTACCCGACCCGGGAATCGAACCCGAGGCCCAGCGGCAGTCGACTTGCGACCACTCGGCCAACGAAGCTGCATTATAATATAAACAAGAAGATCTATTGTTTAAAGATCATATTACCAAACTATCTATAAGCAAACGATTGCAAACACGAATTAAATTAACGTTTTCCTCAAATCACTTTATGTATTATCTAATAGTACCTACTACAAGATTATTGTAAGACGTTACGTATGAGATCTATTTCTTTTTACACTCATTAATTAACGTTATTTGGTTAAAGAAGTGAAAGTACCTAAAGAGATTTGAAAACAATTTTCCCCTTACTGAAGTTACATTGACATTTTGTGTTTAATAATGCTGGCATTCTGGAGTTTCTTGCTTGTTCTTCTTTATTTGAAACTACACTTTGAACAAGCGCACAGCTTCACTGACAGACAGATGGACGGGCAAATCAATTTTTGACATTTCCAAAGTACTTAATTAAGAATTAAAGTCAATGTCAAAATCATGAAATATCGACGGTTCCAAAGTCAGCGTTAAAAATCATATCTTTATTCATTACAGTGTAAGAATCAATGGTAAGCATATCGTAAGTTTGTTGATACAAAACTACATACTATATAGATCGTGTGTACACATCTTTATGTTGCGAGCAACACCTAATTAAACTGTCAAGCACCAAGCGGTCACCGGTGACCGCGACCTATTGTTCTTTAATTGTGTCTATAAATACGGTACTCGACGAGTTAAAACCACAAAATGGCCTTATTTGAAGAATCAAAGATAGACGTACCGGTAAAAGTATGCTTGTTCATTTCACAAATAACTTTTAAGTACATGTAAAGAAATCATCGTCTGTTCATTATAAAATAATGTTATATGGTTATGAATTAATGTAGCTGCTCCAAAGACTTTCTTACACCATTCTATCTATCTCTTACTCCTGCTATACCACATATTGACGTCATCACTTTTATTAAGTAAACCGTAGGAAAAGAATTCTTATAATAATGCATTAGAAAAGAGTTAACAAATTACATGATACTGAAAAAACTCACCCCTGTAGTCACGCGAGCGTAGCAAATAAAAACATGTAGCACTTGCTACGTGCTACGCCGTAGTTCGCTACGAAAAATATAACTTTATCTATGATCGGAAAAATCTTAGACTTTAGAGGTAATTACCCATTTACCTTTAATACACTACATTAACGTTTTAAATTGCTGCACCATTAGTGCGCCCTCTACCGTTGTCGTAGAGAACTGCACAATTATGAGCAAACCACGGCCACCTATACTTTCTAAACCCTAGCGTTAATGTGGTATCAAATTATAGCTTATACTAGCTGCGGATAGATGGCGTTGTGCTTAGAAATATTTGAAATAACATGGTTAAGGAGGTAAGCAGTATTGTACAACAAAGTCAACACATAAAAAATTAAGATAAATAATTGGTAGAAGATGAGATTGTATGCAATAGTTTTTTTAGTTTAATACAATTTAAATGAGAGCTTTATTACGACAACCTTTTGTGTCGAACTTGAACAATAGACATTATTAGTATAGTAAAGTCATTATTATTTTCTTGATACTGCTAAGATTTGACGTTTGAAGTAAATTGTAGTTTTGTTTAATAAATTGTCTTTTAGTTTTCTGAACGCGACTTTTAATGGAACAACAAATCTGTCACTAAATGATAAAAATGTTTTCGTGAATGGGAATACTAATCTGTTTCAATAAAATACCTACTTTGTCATAAGTTTTACCGAAATAATTTTTGTTCACATCAAAATGACCTTATTTCTAACAGCATAAAACATAATATTGGCTGCCTGCACAATTTCCTTACCAAATTACATCAAAATACACATTTTTATCTGTTCCACTTTTTACTAACACAAAACAGTCTTCGTTTGTTTTATAACATTGCACTACCAACTTCTTTCGCAACGAAAACATATTAAAAGCATTTCCCATGCAACTTGCAACGAATTACACTGGCGGACAGACAAAAGAACAACACTATTATATTTGCACACTTAGCCAGTAATTATGGTTACATAGAAACACATTGCCTCATTTATTGTTTAGTTGGTTAAATGGTTGCAACTGTGGTTCCTAGCTAGGAGTTTTGGGTTTGATTACTAAGTTGGAAAAAGTAGTTTTTCTTTGCAAGTCAGTGTATGCTAATGCTACGGAGGACTTAAAGGGTTGCTGGGACTCCAGCTCGAAATGCAGGAGTAGGCACGGGGTGGTTTTTAGTCACTAAGAGTCTGACACTCTCTCTCTCGCCTCATCCAGACGGGAGAAGTGATTCGGTGATTTTCCACTATAAAAAAGTGTATGCTTTATTTAACTAGTAAAACATGGATGTTTCGTATGATAAATGAATTGTCATCCCCATAATTATCATCAACGAAACGTCTACTGTTTAACATAGTCTCCCTCTATGAAATAAATATACGTGTATCTCTGCTAAATACATATTACAATTTTATATTATGTAAAATCTTATTGAGCAATATGCTTAACACTTAGCCGTAATCACAACTTGATACAAGTAAATATAATTAAGGCTACTTTTCATTTCCTACTTTGTAAATTGTGAGACAGTTCGAAGGAATTTGAAATTAATTTGTGGCTTAGTTTAGTTATTTCAACTTAGCGCACATTTAATTAGGTTAAGTATTTTGTAATGTGTTATAATGGATACGAAAATTAATTCTAGGATTATAGAAAGACAATGGAATGTCCAATGCACCGATATTTTCGATTCATACCTCGTTTTTTTAATTAGCAAATTCTTTGATTCTTCTTAACCTAATTTTAAAAATAATAGTGAACTAAAAAAGATTAAATTGTTAGTATACCATTAAAAAATAACTAATATGCCAAAAATTTCTTTATCCTTTAATCGGTAAAAATACAATTTAAAATCTAACTAAGTAATATTCAAATAAAATGTAATTATCAAATATTTTTTATTGTACACAAATCGTGTGCAAGTTTTTTCTTCCTCATGTGTTCACGAATGCGTGTGAGCATGCAACTAACAATGGGACAAAGAATGCTTTGTGCTGTGTAGTAACATTTTAATACATATGTACAAACATACACGAACATTTGAGTTGCAGTTAGATATGCAATGGCTGGGAACCTGTGTATTTTGTGTGACTTCATACTTCTTACATGACATGCGGAAAATAAAAGATCAGTCGGTAATTTTGGCACGCAATGTATTTGTCAATCGATTTCGCAATGAATGCTTCTTTATGTAGATATTTGTCATAGAAATAAATCTTCATCATTTACATTCTTTGTAATAACATTCTAATGAAATTTCAAATGGACTAAGCGGAAATGTATTAAAACAAATATGTTTAACTTTGCTTATTGGTTCACAGCCTATCCTAAGCTAACACTTGATGTATCGGATCATAACTTTATCCATACTGTCCTCTATCAATCATCCCCTTTCATATCACAACTTGACACAATCCCGCCATTGATGTATATTCCTCACTCGTATTACATAGATAATCAAAATTTAATTTAAATCGTGAAACATAAACGTATTCTATAAAACAAACATGCACTTGACCGAGTTCTATGAGCATGTCAAAATTTAGAAGTAAATACAACAAGGTCACTCGGTATATGGTCGGGCTACTCCACTTTTGTTAACCTTAGTCATCTTACGTAAAAGCGATTCTCACGTAACGTACCACCGCTGTGAGTAGCGACTTGAGAACATTTTTTTTTTTATAGATGGTCGTTTGAATGTGGTACGGACTTTGTGCTGTATGTCTAATATGATTTTGTTTTTAATGAATTACTTTATACGATATAGCAACAGGCTCACCCCCTATTACATGGGACTCGTAACATAAATAGTGAAAAGTGAATGTTATACTGTACAGTGGCATTGAGGTGCCGTTATGTGCACCACTGCCTACCCTTTCGGGGATAAAACGCGTGATGTTATGTTATATGTATTTTTGTATTCCACGATTGATTGTTTAATAGTCAAGATATAGTTCTTTTAAAAAATTTACAAGTTACAATGTATTCTACTGCCATGTCTATAATGTAACTCAATTCAGCTTTATACCTCTAATAATTGTAGTTTTCCAAAATGCATTTAATCTAACTTTAACTTAATTGTCAGTGAGCAATTGAGTTTATCTATTTTCAAACAAAAGTAATAAGTAATATTTTTTTTGTGATCATGTCTATAGTGAACGTGGTTATTCTTTTATAATGGCAACAATTCTTACAAATAAAATAATATTATATTATACAATCGAATGGCAGTAAGTGAAGGTCAGCCTTTATGATTGTTTAGGTACATACTCCTGCGCATGTCCATTTCCTCAATCGATCGATTATTTCCTCAACCAAATTTAAAAGGCCCACAGTTTTGGAGGCCAATCCAATAAAATGCGCCTTAATGGGGAATTGTACAAAATGCGTTTGTTGTTAATGCGTTAAGATTTCTTCCTGATAATTGTTTCTGTGACAATTTTTTGTATGTTTGCATATATATGCTTCTTTTAAATATTTACGTTATTCCAATTCATTCCAACAATGATAGTTGATAATTAAACACAGGAAATTTTAATTAATTATTTAATTTTTTCATAATTTTTACATTGATCTTAACCTAAAATGGTAACCTTTATATCACTACGTACACGTACGCTCATACATGCATGACATGTTTACATATAAATATACAAAAATGATGTGTTTACTTTTTGCTGGTGTCCCGGCCAGTACTAGGCGAGATTATAAATAATATTTCAATGATCGCTTGGCGGATGAAAACTTTATATTAAAGCTAGAAGTATTTATTCTAATGGCTGTAGTAAGATCCTCCGAAACTCAAGTGGCTGGAGTGATCGTGGTCGTGCTCACTGACGAGGACTGGGACCTTGACTGGGACGGGGTAAGGCTTCTCGACTGCGACTGGGATGTGCTTCTCAATGTGCACGGGGTAGGGCCTGTCGACGGGCACCTTCACGGGGTAAGGCACTGGCTTCTCTACCGCGTAGGGAACGTGCTTGTAGACTGGGTAGGGCTCTGGAACGGGCACCTTAACTGGGACGGGGTAAGGCCTGTCTACATTGACGGGGTAGGGCCTGTCGACTGGCACATGTACGGGCACTGGCACTGGTTTCTCAACTGGGACAGCAACTGGGACGGGCTTCTCAACGGGGTAAGGAGCAGGTACGTGTACGGGGTAAGGCCTGTCAACGGGGACTTTTACGGGGACACCAACGTGTTTGACTACCGGGTAAGGCTGGGGAACGGGAACCTTAACTTCGACTGGGTATGGCACGTGTTTCTCCACGGGGTAAGGTTGGGGCACTGGCACCTTGACGGGGTAGGGGATGTGTTTTTCAACAGGGTAGGGTTGAGGGACAAGGACCTTCACGGGGTAAGGCCTGTCGACGGGAACGTGGACGGGGTAAGGTACCTTCTTCTCAACTGGGTAGGGGGCTGGTACATGGACGGGGACTTTGACGTACTCTTTCACGTGAACTGGCACGTGTTTGATGACCTCGTACGGCTGTGGTACGGGCACTTTGACGGGGTAAGGCACGGGCTTCTCCACGGGGTATGGGATGTGTTTCTCGACGGGCACGGCGTATGGAACACCTTTGACGAGGGTGATGGTCCTCGTGGTGTCGGAGTGGTGTCCGAGATCGATGGAGCCGTAGCCGCTGTAGGCGTGGTCATCAACGAAGTTGTATGCTCCGCCGAGTCCGTGGCCACTGCCGAGGTAGCCGATGTCTAACCCTTGAATGCCGTATCCATAGCCGAGGTTCAAGAGGCCACGTTTGTCCAACTTTTTGTCCAATGGCTCCGCTTTTTTTTCTGTCGTCTTCTTCTCGCTGGCAGCTGCGGCTGCTACCAGCAGGAAAACAAAGCAGAACTGCGAACAAAGAAAACTCATTAAGTGACTTTACTTATTAAGTAATATTTATGCACTAATTACTGTGCCACTGTAACCGTAATAAAATGACACGTATAATAGCAAAAGCCTACTCAAGTGTGTAGAAGAATTCCGTGTATAAACTCGAGTGTAATATTAGTTAGACTTCTTAGAGAATAAAATGGCAATGTGACTAAACTGAACCAGTATATAATAAAAAAATATAACACAGAGACACTATAAATTGAAACAAATATAAACTCCTTGTTTAATTATCAAAAAGAAAACAAAAGAGAGTGTCAAAAACTTTTATTCAAATTCTGAATGTCATCAAAAATAGTCCAATTTCGGAAACGATATTTAAAATCAAAATTAGAATACTAATCCGATACCACTCTATGCAATACAATACCAAAAGTCTTTTATTCAAATGTCATTTTATAAAAAGAACCTCGTTAGTATTCATGATCGTTGTAATCGCTTCATAAAAAAAGTAATATGTCAATCATATGACTTAATAATGTTACCGAAAATGCATTATTGATTCATAAATCGGTGTAATCGTACTAGAAGCATCGAAGCAAATCGTGTCAATACACTGTTATATAATCCTTCGTTAACGTATCGTGAACGTTATAAATATGCACTACAATATTGCAAATAGTTATTTGTAGTGTATCCAAGTTGTGCAACCGTGCAAGCAAGTCACATGGAAATGACTGCAACTAATAAATATTATTACGAAATTTGTTTACTGTTGAGCTATTTATGACCATTTCATAGCCCTATAAATAATTTAAGTATCCACTAACTAACATTAGAGTTAACTAGAACTTTCTATCACTTATATCATAATCACTCGTTCCTTAGGGTCGATTATATCACACTCCGTAATCCTATTCAAATTCTCAATTATGAACGAACAATTGAACAAAGAATTAATCCAAGCTTAATTCAAAGCCATTCAATTATGACCCCTATTATTACTTAACACAAGATGTGAGTATAGACTGTTTTGTTAGTTTACGAAACACCCGGACAACATCTTAAATTAAGTGATGTAGTGTTACGTAGTTAATGTGACCTTGGTTGATATTAGCTCCAAAAAGTTGATCAAAATAAAAACAATTGCAAAATCGTAAATTATTCAGTTTAAGTTCCTGTTATATTTGCTAAGATAATCTAAAATAGTCGTTTAACAGATTGTCAACATAAAACCTACACATTTCCCTTCTAACGTTCAAATTCTTCATAGCAAAAAACATACAAATCAACCAAGAAGTTGAGAAATATCCCTCTAAACCTGTACATCATGCAATACGCATTTAAATAATATCATGCTGTGTACAAACGGGCCGGTAACTGTTCTATAATCGTTGGTCACAAATGGCTTAGTTATGCTTAAGTTCTGTGGTGCAACCCGGCCTGAATCAAGAATACTTTGTCTCATTTTCCCAGCATTTTTGTTTGGTTTGCTTCATGCAATTTCGGTACAATGCTGGTTATTTGACCTTGCATTGTCTCCGGCTTCAACATTACGAATTTTGCTAAAACATCTTAAGAATTCGCATTGTTTTCAATTTTGATAAGTATTTCAATTATGGTCACTGACATAAGTAAAGCAATGTTCTTTGCATATTTTTCGAGCAATTTTAATGTCACATATTTGCGTAATGAATACCACAACGGCCATATCTATTTACCTACACATCTACGATTACAAAACTTGAGCAGTTGCTGGGAACGTATCATTACTACGACATAATGTGTAAGGTACCTCACGGACGCGTCATAGTACGTAACTCCCTGATTAAATCTCTCTTATATTCAAAAAGGAGCGAGTGACGTAAATTGCAGTTTCAAACGCATATTATGTGACGTCATGTGACATCATCTGCCTGGAAAGTCGTAAAACTGACCTCTTTACCACGTGGAGGCAATAAAACATTGTTTGTATGTAAACAGCGTACGTTTATGACGCTAGATTTCTTATTTGAGTAATATGTGACACAGATTTGACGGATGTGTAATGAAATAGTTCGGCCATCTCGATGTTGTGAAGATTCACTTGTCAAAGCCAATCAAATGTGTTGTAATGTTAGAAGTTATTGATGTTTGCGTCACCGTCGATTCTCAATAGTTGAAAATTGGATCGCAAACATTTTCATTCGCATTGTTTTGACAGAAAAGATGCTAATCAGTTAGAAAAGAGAACGGGGTCGGCAGCGGCGATCGGGTTGCCTCGGTTAGTGGCTCGTGGGATTATATTACTTCTATGGTGGTTTCGCAATCCATGAAACGGGTCGCCGATACTACGCTAACTGCTACTTTTGCGTTCATTGAAACGTACCTCTAGACGTTTGATCACAAATCGGTGCCGACGTTTGTATTTCACTACTATCAGGAATACAAAATTTCAAAGAGTCGCATTTTAATGTTTGTTGTAGATTACGATATACTTATATTTCGATGATGACTTGAGAGACCTACATTTTTTGACACAACAATTTATTTTTATCTATAGTTTTCCTAGTCTTTTTTTAGTCTCCTTTTAATTCTGAATAGCGGTCTATTCAACGCCAATATCCTCATTTGTACGTGCAAAAACATGAATAGTAGGACACATTGCGACAAAAACAGCTACCATACAGAACTGCGACCCTACTTGGTCAAAGATCATTTCAGAGACCACTAATATAGCAAAACGTGCTCGTTTTTAATTTTCTTATGTAATATTATGTTACTATGGTACACATTGACCTGAGTTATGACATAGTAACATCTTGAACATTAATCAAACTTACGATATAACATGATGTTAGCTCTTGTGGAGGTGAGATTGAGAAATTGAGAGCGATTCATGTGAACGTGAGTTTTTATTGACTTCTTTTATGTATATAATTAGTGTTTTATGTTTAGCTACTGTTTAGTCGTTAAAACTGGACTATTTATAATTTTAAATCAATTTAAATTCAATCTTAATATCCACGAGCTACGATATAAATATAAATATTTAATGCTTGGTATCGAACTTTGAACGCTATGTAAGACAAGCTATACATGTAAGTATATTTTACTACTAGTTATATTCTTTATTTACATTGCAATTCGCATAACTGTTATAAAACTCCTTTGAATTTATATAACTAACTATATTAAATACTATTTTAAAACTTATTAAAGTAATGAACTCCGGAAATTACGTTCGGCTAGGATTTCATAGATTAACGTAATTTAGATAAAATTTTCTTTGTATTTTAATTTAAACGGCCACGGAAACGTTTGCCTAAAAATTATATGAGAATATATTTAGATTAATTTTATACCTACACGTTTTATTAACGACTTAATTTGATTTTATCTTTATGTTAAAACTTAGACTTTTAAATAATTTAGCAGTTATATGTGTAAATGTAAATTAGTGCTTTTCTCACGGGTTGATTTTAGAACCAACTCATTTAAAAATAGATCTGATTCATAGACACAATTTATTCTTTTTTTATGACTCCTTCATTTGTATTTATTTTTGTGTCTTGTTTATTTTTCTGTCTTATATTTTCTCTCATGTCTTTATGCAATTCGCGCATTAACTGGGCGTTGCATTGACTTATTCCTTCCTGGATTGTCTTCCTAGTAAAACTGGACTGAAACCTGTTAGTCTTGATCGAGAGTGAATTCACTATTGTGACGTAATATACTAGTAGATTACTCATCAGCAATACCCGTAATAATTTTGAATTCTATTTAAAGTGATTCGTGGATTTGAATTTCATTATCAGTGGGCCGTTTTACAACTGACTTTGCGTTTGTTTTTGAATTGGAAGTTTAGTAGTTAAAAACGTTGGTAGTTTGTTTTGTAAACTAAATATGTTTATAATATGTTTTCTTTTGTCCCTAACAAATAGATTTAGATAAAGAAAATAGTGTTTGTTTCTTATTGTGTCCAAATTGAAACTAACAGCAAAATGTTGACTTCAAAAAAGTGTGTCACATCCCGTTATTCACTGGATAATTCTGGTGATACTAGACATAGAACCTGTTTCACCATTGTCCAAACAAAAAATAATTTGAACATTAATTTACAAACTTGGAAAATTCACTATAATTTTGTAAACTTAGCAAACAATGGTATAACAGGCCCTACGGATCACTTTTTCACAAAAACACGGGACACACTATTTCACTTTTTTGAAGTCATCACTTGCACAAACACTGCACTTCACTCACTCACCGTTGTTTTCATATTGCCTCTTCAACGGTGGTTGGTGTCGGGAATCGAACTGGATACTCTGTTGAGTGTGTTGTGTGTTTTTATAGGTGGTTATTTGGCGATACTTTCGCCATTGCCGCCGTAGCGGGAATAGGCTGTTTTGCGTGAAGTCCTTCGTATTCGGTCAGCCGTCGTACAGAAGACAGACGCGCCGCGCGTTCGGAATTTAAAAATAATAATTCAAATAATTCTTCGCTCCAATTAATTTTGTAAATAATAATTCGATGATAAATAATAATCGTTCCGTGTGTATGCACATTTTTTTAGTAATATTGGTATATTTTGATTAGGTGTGTAGTACGTGGATTTTGCAATAGCATTTAAAATATATCTTGAAGTAAACATTAGTGTTTCCGTTTGATATTTCAATACTGGTTGGCATCCTGTACAGAGATTACAACTGTTATAATAATTACAGTTCGCTTTACTTAGGTAATAGATAGGGCCGTAAATCAAGTCCTGTTTTCCGAGCTAATCAATATAATTGTTTTTAGTGCGTTACAAATTGCTTTTGTTGCCCATTTTCAGCAGGTTGTGCTTTATACAATACTGTGAATTATTGTATTAGATTTATGTATTAACTTACAGCAACTGTAAAGAGTCGGGATTGTAAATATCGCTCTATTTGGTATCATATAGAGTGATTGGATCATACAAGATTATTATCTTTCGGGTTAATTAGAATGCCTTTATTTTTGAAATAGTCTCATTTCTCGCTTTTCTCATCATAAACTTACAATTTTTATTTATA